TGGGCTTGCTTGAGAATTTGTAGATGGCAGGGCCAGCTGCGGGCATGCTGCCTACATGCATGAGAGATGGGGCATGTGCCACTCAAGCCCGCAACCGATTCTATTGGCTTGGTAACGTCACAGCCTGGCTCTGTCTCCCCAAATCGCGTCCTTCACCCGCACGACTGATCTCAAAACAACAATCCCCCACGGTGCCCCGGAAGAATTGACTTCGCTTCCCACGATTCAACAGCCGCATCTCAGACGATTCCCCAGCTGCCCAGGATCAGCTTCCTGAAAATCGCAGCCGTCCGCCTTGGAGCACATCCAGTCGCCGCCCGTCAGTGTCCCACGGCTCAGAAGAACCTCCGCAGCAGTGTTTTCCATGGCTTCCCCTGACCTCCAGCATGTCACACCCCCCACAGAAGGGATCGTCACGTCAATAAACCTTCAACACATAGAAACATTTGAAAGAATTCAGACGCATGATTTGGACCACAGGGATCATTCTCGTGGGGGATTCATTTGTCTTTGGTTGAAGCAAACTTACTGCTTCAGAGACTGGATTCAGGATTCTTCAGAATGTGAGTTGTTTCCACCAGGCGAAGGTCGTGCACACTGGCCAGCAACTCGCAACACACATAGCTGAAACAATCCGGAACAGCTCACACACACACATGACATGCTACTGTCCCCCAGTCAATCACCATGTAAATGGAGCCTTGCTCATCTTGCAATTCTTCCAAATACTTCTGCTCAGATCTGCACCTGGCATGAATGAAGTCTTGCTGGGTAAATGATCATACAAATTGTAAATCTCTCGAAAACAGGTCTCTCAGCAATGCAGCAAAGCACTTCTTCTGTGTAGTGTTCACCATGCGAGTTTATGCCGACACCTCTGGCAATCAGAATCCGCAATCTCCACAATTCAACATATATAGAAAAAACGTTGCAGCTTTAAAAACGAAAACAGAAAACAATGCGCGTTCGCTGGCTCTTCCACGGCTCCAAAGCTGTGCAAAAACAGCGGCTCCACGGCTCCACGGCACTCGGACTCGTTTCGACGCGGGGAGTCGGACTCCGTCCCGTTTCGTTTCGGTGAAACGCCTGTGAGGTTCACCGACTCCAGCTCCGAGGATTCAAGGTTTGCCTCAATGCCCGTTGCACCCTGCAGGTTCGAGTTCTTGATGACTGCCTGGCAGGTTCGACCAAGTGACACAAGTGACACAAGTGACTCAAGCCGAAGTTGCAAGAATACATGTTGGACAGGTACGAAGTGAATATGCACTATCCAAAGAGATCTCATTCACAGAAAAACTGATTGGCACCCAAACCTTAAACAAATTAATATTCACAAGCTTTGGCTCGGAAATCGGGCAAAAGGCAAGTCCAATGCGCCTTCACCAGCTGTGCCTTGCAAAGTTGCAAGCGCAGGGCCTGACAGTTGATTATAGTCACATCCTGCAGGTCCTGCGGGCAACACGCAGAAGCTGGTGCGGGATATAAATTTAATTAACGAGGTGCCGTTTGCTAGATTGACAGGTGAGGGAGCATATACATCATAATCTGCACCCACCCACCCGAGCCATCCCATGCCAACAAAAAACACTGCCCGTGGACCACAACACAGGTCTCTTGGCAGTGCAACGTCCGCGCGTTTGAACACCAACCAAAGTAGGCCTCAACATGCTCAGCCAGAAGATTCTGGATCTTCGCCCGATGGGGGGAAAATCAAACGGGAAACACTTTCATCTTGCTGTACCTGAAGTGGGCTTTGCCGCTTCCAACTAATAAGGTTCCTTCAGAGGTCAAAGGTATCCAATAAATCGAAAACATGAAGAGTTTCGTGGGGAAGCCTGTAAAGACCTTACTGCTACCTTGGCGAGCCACCTGGAACTTGATTGATTTGCGTGGATATTCTGTACGTCAGTGTGCACAACTTGTGTATATACACAAGCCGAGGGCATCCCAAAAGCTAGTGCCGACTGGCAATCTATTGAAGTGAGTGATCCATATCTATACCCATATATACATATATATTTACAAAACTATATGTCGTACTAATTACATCATTAAGGAACATGTAAAACATAAACTTGATCAGCAATGAGTGTGGAAACTAAGTCTACCTTACTTACTTCAGCTGCAGCACTAGGAACAAGTGCCACGCTACTAGTAACAAGTGCCTTACTACTAGTAACAAGAAGCTACTAGGAACAAGTGCCTTACTACTAGTAACAATAAGAATTTAATAAGAATTTGTTGATCCCCACCACTCCATCCCCGATTCCCGTGCGTTCGCCCCGCTCCGCCCCTGCCAAGTCGACACCCTCGAGGTTGCAGCCACTGAGGCGCGCATTCTGCAACGAGGCCGACCTGGTCGGTACGACCGGTTGGCGCGAGGATTGCGGCGGCTTCGTGCGGTGCGGCGGCTTCCAGACGCGCTGCGCGAACGGGATTGGGAACATGCTCCCCCTGACAGGACGAACGCATGGACTCAAGTCATGTTCCCTGACAGGACGAACACGGCTGCGTGCCGCATTAGGCATGGGCCATGGGTGAGTGATGGTGATTGAATGTGCTCATCCCATTTTCTCTCTGGGATCTTCAGACCCCCCTCTGCTCATCTCCGCACCAAACGTGTCCCACCTGAGCTTGGCATGTCGAAGGCGGACATTCTCCAGGATGGCATGGTTCAACTGACCGAAGCACAGGTCGGCTTCCTGCCGGCCGGGTGAAAACCGGACTCGTCGGGTTGATCGGATTGATGTCCTTCTGGCACTGGGATACAGGTCCGGGCTGGTTCCCATGGCTCTCACTGGCACACTGGTACAACATGTTGTCTATTATTATTATTATTACTTCTTTAAACCTATATATACACATATATATATATGCATAGATATGCATAATTAGTAATTAAGGCTTCTTGATGCTTCTTGCTGTTTTTGGGCTACGAAGGCCTCCATGCAGGTGTGTCTTGCTTTCCACCTCATGTCCTTCTGTCCTCCATGTTGGCATTCCGCAATCTGCAGCTGCCCAGATTTGCCTTGATTGATGAGCAAATTGTCCAAGCAGGGTCCACCCAAAGAGAACATGCATCATTAAAACTGCTTGTTGATGACAATTGAGCATAGATGGGACTGGGTCAAAACCACGTATACAGCCCCCCTTGCACACACGACAGTGGGGGATGTTCTCCCATAGGCCAGCCATAATTATAGCGGAACAAAACCACCTACAATCTGCCCTAGGCACCACATGTTCAGCCAATAAAAACCTTTCTTCCACATAGACTTGCAAAGCTGATATCAAGGGAATTCTTCTACAAGAGCTTTTATTGTAGTGACCATTGATGATATTGGCGATGACTGAGCCACATAAGATCTTGAGAGCCACCGTCACTTTTGGTGGACATCACGCCTCCCAAATCTGAAAAACTGCAAAACATGATTAGTAGGTTGACTTGAACAGGTGTATGAATTACAATTGGGCACTCCTGTTTGGTCAACCACTACCCCACTGTGTCCGTACCCGGCCAATAGTGCGACCTAAGAGGCCCTCTGCATCATCGCCTCACGGAAAGAGGCATCGCTCAAGTGCGCTGCTCGCATGGACACGCCTCACATGGTCGAGTGGAGCCGGAGCGATTTGCTGCTCGCTATGCATGTGTCACCATTTAAAACGTCGGAACATGGTCTTGGATTTAGAGTCTAGCGGGGGGGTATCCGTCGACTCAACGTGTAGCTGCACCTGCTTTTGACGGATACTAGCACTCATGATGGTTGGATTGGCAAGCGAACTCTATACTGGTGCCAAACACTCCTGATTGTGCTGCTGTACTGCGCTTGGGGTATGGCTCACAGGTATGCACAAATGCCATGAAACATGAAGCAACCACCACATTGAGAAATTGAGAGCCGTATATATATATATAGTATAAACACATTCTGGCAAGGTTTCAGCCCTTGTAACACTTGGAGTCTGGAACTATATATATAATTGCTCCAATCATATTTTGCAAAACGTGTGATGGCGGAGTTCAACCACCCTGCCCTATATATATATATATATATCCCACCCACAGCAGCTCCAAGCCCTTTTGGTCAGCTCCTCCGACTTAAGCGCGCGGACCAATGAGCCGAAGCCAACTCGAACATAACAAATGACCTACTTGAAGGCAATCCTTGTGGAAGGGTGGTGGTAAACTGCTGGGTGCAACTGCCTACATCTCCCCATAAAAGATTCGCAAATCCGAAGCAAGGTTTGGTTTCGACTAAAGGCTTAGTGGATGTGTAAGACAAACGCTGTGGAAGCACATCAACCCACACACGCTTTAGAACAGCAATCATGTAAGTTCTTTAGGATGCCGCCGAACCAACTTGCAAAGCACTCCACGAGGAAAACCATTGCCTCGCTTACATCGGACTTGGCCTTTTCAACTGGCAACAAAGCGATTGACACCCTGTCACATTTAAACATCCTCAAGCATCTTCGGATGATGTGACACGTCAAATGCAGGCATGTTCGTTGAGACCATCAATAACTCCATCATTAGTGTGGCCAAACTACGATGCTAGCCAACACCGGAGGCTTTTTGGCAGTGAAACCACCCCTGCATTTGCAGGGTGCGACATGGTGGTGCGGCTGCGTCACCCCTGTGAGCGAGCAGCTCATGTAGGTCACTGATGGTCACTGCAATGAGTGCGTACGGGAGTTTGACCACACCAAACTATGGAATCCTACTGATTTTAAATTTGGGCCTGTGTTGCCAAGGGAGATCTTTGGCTGGGTCTCTGTCTCTCTCTCTCTCTCTGAATGAGGGTTTCCGCTCCTGTCCTCCGAACTCAAGACTCGACTCGACTCGTGTGACCTAATCCGAAGCTCCACTGAAACCACCGCTGCGCTCACCACTCGAGTGGCCATCAGGGCGCTGGCGTATAGATAGACCCTGTATCAAGCAGGACAGGTAGAGCAACCAAAAACGGACTACATTACTCTCTGAAACATGCGATTCCGCTGCCCCAAACACCTAAGACCCAGCTATTCGATGCACGTCGTCTGGCCACTCGGAAGCTCTGCGTCAGGCCATGAAGCATCGCCGTAACCGGTCCCAACATGCCATTCCCCGAGGACCTGAGTCCAGGGCAGGTGAATACACACCTGCTGTCTCAGACCGACCAAAGAAAAGCACCGCACCAGCCAAATGAAAAGACCCTGCGCTTGTCTCGCTTTCCCTTGTCCTGCGCTTCAGAAATTGTGTCCTCTTGGGTTCATGAGAAGAAACAGCACAGTTTGGTCCTCTGGGGTTCATGAGTGAACTGTTCGCCCTCCTCCATGCGGTGTAAAAGCTCGTGAAAGGAAAGCAAACGGAGGTCAAGGGAGGAAACACCTGAAACACCATGCATTCAGAGTGGCCAAAATGATACCTTGCACTGCCTTGCACATGATACCCTGCTTATTGAACTGGCAAAACGGGAGTTGTCGCCTTCATCTGATGTTGGTACGGGAATTGACAGTAGCGACTGCAGGAACCAACCTGGGCTATGTGTCCCACCAAAACATCCATTCAAAATGCTCAACAAAACACCAGCACTTACCAGCATAGTAGTCTACATATTTACACCAGAAAACGCTGCACAGCTGGAATCTACGAGGGAGTTTTCAAGACGGATGTTTGGACTTCTATTCAACCCCCCCGGCAGCATCGCCCGCCATTCAGATCTGTTCCCAGTGGCGTCTGTCCAAAAAGGGTGCCGTAAAGGGAGTGTGAGAACCGGCCTCGGGGCAGTCTGCCAAGCGAGTTTCTATACGTAATGGTTCTTCCAAATGAACGTGACATGAACTGAAATGCCCTGTTTTGTGTGTGTGTGTGGTGTTGTGCTTGTAGCTGTTCCTGTTGCTGCTACCTGCTAACTGTTGCACCAGCAGCTGGCAGTTATTGCTCCTGACCTACCAAGGTAGCTTGGGGCGACCAATCTGCACAAAATCGACTAGATGTCTTCTCAACAAACTGTTCCTGGGAGGTCACCATTGATGCAAGTTTTGAAAAACCTAACGCGCACTATCGTGCACTGCACCCCGTAGTGACGTAGAGAGGGCTGTGATTGCTATGATTGTGCACAAAGGGCGTGCAAATACTGGTTTGCTTCACGGGGGCCATGCTAGCAGCCAATCAAATCTAGTAACTAACTAACTAACTAACTAACTCATTATTCTGAAGTGAATCAGATTCTTTTGACTTAACAGGCAGCGGCGATGCGAGCATCCCAGGAGATTCATGGCTGTCATGCACAATGGCTGTATATCTGTATATAACACTTGAGGCCAGAGGGGGTGAACGAAAGCTAGCCGGGCTTCCGGTGGTCTGCTGCTGGTGCTGCTGCTGCTGGTGCTGCTGCTGCTCTGCAGGCGCCGGGTCGTCTGCTGCTGCTGCTGCTGGCGCTGGGTGGTCTGCTGCGGCTGCTGCTGCCGCGGCGTTGGGTATGCTGCTGCCGCTGCTGCTGCCGCCGCTGGGTGGTCTGCTGCTGCTGCTGGTGCTGCTGCTGCTGCCGCTGCTGCCGCTGCTGGGCGCTGCAGATGCTTGGTGTGCTGCAGCTGCTTGGTGGTCCCGCTCACCGCGCGCAGGGGGGAGTCAAACCGCGGGGGGGGGGGTGAAAGAGTGACTAGGGCGTACACGGTAGAGGTGCAGACCGCTAGTGTCTTTTATGCGCAGAGTCTTATCCTCTTGCTCTTTGAGCCTTGAAGCAGTCAAGCATGGACACACTATATCAGCTGTTGGAGTGGAACCCTGTACAGGTAGGCTCTACTTTTCAGCAGGCACAAGATTCATGTCCACTTCTAGCTGATTGCGTATGTCGCATACTCTTTTTCTACTGCAAGGCTAAATCAGTCCAGCTAGCTCTGACAACTTAAAAGAAAACTACGGTGCCATGTACTTACCTAATCCAGTGTGTTTCACACTTCAGAGAAGGTAATCTCATAGCTACTAAATACAGTGAGGGAGCAATAGCTGACTCACCTCAAGTACAAAATCAAATTGATAATGTACCTCGGCTGGAGACTGTACTTTTCGCAGGCGGAGATACCATGTACCGGCGCTCACTAGCTCTTTAGGGCCTGAGCTAAATCAAACTAAAAGGGAAAGCGGCTTTTTCTCTACAGAGACCTATAAAAGAATCAAACGACACTCGCGTAACAAAGAACTAAAAATTCAAGACCGCACAAATGCAATTAATTAAAATGCCTTGCAAAATGCAAGGAGCGTACGGTCCGAGGAATAATCTTCTCGTGACGTGGTCTCGACCGCTTTCATCCACAGACAAATAAAACTGCATCAAAAGGACTCTTTCTTTCATTGACACCAAAAAAGACACAAGAAGGAGATACCGGCAAATGTATGTACAAAAAAAATCTTGCACTACAATTGCAAATCATGAAATGACTTAATCATCAACCATGACTGGTTGTCCATTAGAGGTCACTTCATAAGAGCGGTGGTGATAGATATCATCAGTTATGTAAAACTGTCCATACCTATCTACATGCTAAAGCGTATAAACCTGGAATGCAGGAGTATCTTCTTTGATAAAAAGTTTCTCCTCATTGCAAACCAGAATTTATTAAAACTTCAGCCTGGCAACTTAAAGTCAAGCCTGGAAGCAAAGTATCAACTGTAACCAGAAGTCTCTTCACTTCCTAGCCATCATTTAAATTTCAGCCTTCGCTCAGGAATTATGCCGCTGCAGACGTTGAAGCTGCTTGATCAGAAGTTGGCGGCCTTCCTTTCTTTCTATTCTGCTTCTGTCTCTCCTTCCTCCGCAAGTTCGCCTCATGAAGCGTTGCTCCCATGCGATACTGTCTTCTGTCTCCAGATGACAAGGAAGCTGGTCTGAGTGAAATAAACATTGGACCATGACTGTCCTCGTCAGTGGGCCTTGAGCACATAACCTCTGTATCAATCATAGCAAAGTTCTCTGAAAAATTACAGATGAACTCCTTCGTGCTCACTGTGGAATTTTCATATTCCTCTTCACTCATTGAATGACCCCATTCAACAATGGTAGACAAACATGTATCGCCAAGCTGTGATCCTTGGTATTCTTCTTTCTCAACAGTAGAGTATTCTTCCCAGAGTTTATCAAAATAAACTTCACACTTCTTGAGGACCTGTGAAGTTGAACTGTAAAATGTTCTGGGAATAGGTGCTTTAATACCAGGATCTGCTTTTACACGAGCTTCTGAAAACCTGCGGATCCAATGCTGCATGGTGCTGTAATAGTAGTTAGCCATTGGCTGCCTTTTGTACCCAGACATTCTGTAGGCCAAACTATTTGCATCACCAGAAATGATGTCCACCTCATAGACAAAACAGTCGTAAAGCATCAATGCTGTCTGTTCTCCTGTCAGTAGGTGGGCATCCACAGCACGGTGTGTATCAACATGATAATTACAGACTCTGATGGTATGCATGTTCGCTCGAGTAAGTGGAACACGCTTGTCCTCAGGACCATAGTCATCAAATTCAAAGTCTGCATCCTTGAAGTCTTGACGAGGCCTTGTTTCTCCAAAACAAATCTCGTAGATAGCCCAAGTTACATCACGCTGTTGACAGTGACCACGTTCTTGATCATGTCCAGCAATGATCTTGACATATCCACCTGGTGCTAGTCTAGCCATCACTGCAAGATTCTCCCAATCATTGAAACAAACTGTCCAATTCTTTTGCTCAATAAATTCCTTGGCAGGAACAAGAAGATGAGCTTCCTGGAGAATCACGACATGTGCACGTAAAAAGAAGAGCATGTTGAAGAAAAGGTTGTTCTCAAATTGCTCATTCTGAAGTGACATGGCGCTCTGTTTGCGTGGCCTCATTGCACTATCAAGTCCTTGGAGAAACCTTGGTGTGGTGTACTTCTGACCACGAACCATGTTGCCATAGTTCCAGGATAAAAATGTCAAGGACTCTGAGCTGGCCAATAAGTTAGTTCCATATGGTTCTTCTATTCTTCCTTTGAGGAACCTTCTGCACAGCTCTTCATAGAAGGTGACAAAGTCCCAACTGGGTCCCTTGGGACCATATGATTCCAGTTCCTTCTTGAGTTCCTTCTTCGTCTCCTCCAATTCTTCTCGAGCATGTTCTGCCCTTTCAAGGGCCTTTGGATCGACCTGATACCTGCCATCCAAATAAATGATGCGGTCATCATTGATGAAGAATCTCTTCAAATCATGCTCTGGTTCATGTTCATAACAATCAGGTGGAGGTACTGGACAGATATTACGAATGGATCGAACAAAATCATTCTCGTTGATCCTCGACTGATAATGAGGATGGGAAATCTCACCTTTTCTAAAACAAACATGATTCAGCAATCTTGCATGAGTTTCCCTGAAGCATAGTTGATAAAAGCCAATACCTGGATCTCCTGTAATCTCTCCAAGCAACTTCAAAGGTGAAGTATGCAATTCATAGGTATCGTCAGCTTTTGTTGTATCCTTTTCAACAACTACTTCAGATGGAAAAGATTCTTGGATTTCAGCCTCCAATTTCTTCTCTCCATCATCCTCTCTGACCTCTTTTATTTTCTCCACCGCCTCTTTCTTCTCTTCCATGGTTGCATCATCCTGAACTTCTTCATGAAAATGAGGATCAGGAATCTTATTCAGGCGGCTTTTCTTAGATTTCCGCTGACCTGAAGTATCATCAAGGTTAGCATCCATCTCACCTGATGGTAAGTGCGATGCAGTCGAGTCCTCACCTATCTCTCTTGACAGAAAGTGTGGTGTTGACTCTTCCTTGGCTTCCTCCTGGTCGTCTTCCATCTTTGGTTCCTCTGAAGGAAAGACACCTGCATTCTCATCAAATATTTCTTCTTCCTTTTCAGGTTCAACTGCAGGATCTTCTTCAGGAACTTCCTCTTCCATATTCTCATCTTCTAGAAGTGTCATACTTCCAGTATAGATTCCACCAGCGATAGTGGAGACTCTTGTATAAGGAGGAACTTCTTCACCTACTTCAAAAGCTTGTTCTGCAACATCCTTGGTGAGCAAGTCCTCTACAAGATTTTCTCCCTCGGTTCTTGGAAGAGGTCCTGAGGTCTCATAAAAATCTGTCCTCTCTGAACTGAAAGCTTCTGTCGCCTTCTCATTGTCCTTTTGATCCCTGAACAGGTGAGTAATCTTCACAGCTTCTCCCTGTAGCACCTGATCACCTCCTCTGTACTTGTCGACAATGGAGCGCCATACTGGAACATCATCATCATCAAAATCAAGCTCCATATCATCTGCCAACAGGTATGAGATGTTTTGAGCTGCCTTTTCTTCTTCTTCATCACGTTCCTTGGCAAGCTCCTCATCCTTCTGGATCTTGAAGATACCCTTCAGGATGTCTTGTAGTACCTTTAAGTTCAGCTTCGATGATGACTCATACGTCCCTGAACTTACAGGCTCAACTACAACACGAGAGCAAGAAATCGCCTCCAAAAACTTGGAATTGTATTGGCGTTCAAACTCTTCCTTCTTGATCATCTCATACAAGGGATCAGAAACTGCAACACGCGCCTGAACATACTCACGAAGTTGATAGCATGCATGTTGCACAAATCTACTGTTGGAGTTGTGAAGAAAACTCTCCAAATGATTCCTGTCACGGTCAATCAAATACCACACAATCCTTGCAGAAAAAACGGAATTTCTTGAAGTTCATAGCAAAATGTGTATGATACTTCTCTGGATTCCTTTCTGCTTGTAAAGCGGCCTCTGAAGTCTTGTAAACAGGAAGT